GTTGAACAGCAATATTCTATCCTGTCATAGGAAGAATTATGGTTTCGATACCTACAGGTCTGGCAGGGGACTGGACTTCAGTACCCTTTCGTATCGTCCCCGCTGGATCCCCACTGGGGAGAGGAGAGTGAGAAAAATGTACAGGAATGATATGACCGGCTTGTTCTGTGATGATGCAAACCGCTGGGAAAAAACGGTGGATAAAGAATCGGTCAGCGGACTTGTCCGGTTTAGGTGTTTGGAGGATGAACCTGAGAGACTGGTAAATAGCGAAGTTGACCGCGGCAAGGCCTGTCTCGATTGCTCACGTTAAAATGCTGAAAGGGCGCTCACTGGAATGCCAAAAAGTTGCTAAAAAATTGCCAAAAATCCAAAATGTTTGCTACCTAAATTTAAAAAGTTGCTACCTAAAAAAATTCACGATATCTTTATATTAAGTTAATTAAATGTTATATTTTTCGTTTTTCGCAATAATTACTGACATCAGACAAGAAATTAAAAAAATAGCTTACAATAGTTTTTCGCAGAAAAAGGCAGCTTCTCACCTGAACATCCATTTCGGCTAGTGGAAAATAAACTAACAGTGACAGCCATCATTTTAGCCAATTATCCGTTCTAATATTAGATAATGGGCTTACAAACCGCTGTCAATTTACAAGTTATGTGTGTGAAAGATTGAAAAGCACTCAATAAATTCGCATAAACAGAAGTTTTCTATGAAATCGTCGATCTAATCATGCTTAATATGCGCTCGTGGTTGCTAGGCAAAAAGTTGCTCCCAACGGCAAAACTTGTTCAAGGTTGCCAAGCACTCTTGGGGCAGGTCTAACCACGGCTTGTTTAGTTGGTCAATTCCCTGTATTTTTTATTTCCAGGCCACAGAAATTCTTTTCAAAGTCAAGTGACCACACGACCGAAGGGGCATTCTATTTCTTCTTCCTTTGTTACCCCTCCTCCCTCTGTATAGAAAATGTTGCGTTTTCATCGGATAAAATTAAAATTGGATATTTCATAGAATGATTGTGACACACAAACAAAGTTGAATGTCTTGGAAATGTTTTAGGGAGTATTTATGGGCCACTTATTATTTATCGCCTGAGAGGGGTCGTAGAGTATTTTGGTCGTGTTACAATAAAATTCACCTGATTTCCACCCCACCCCCCCCTCCCCTCCTCCAGGCTCTCTAGAATTCAGATGAGCCCCCTCCCTCTTATTGCCATCAATTTTCTATAGTCCCTCTTCACTCGATTTTGTTGTGATAAGACAAAAATATTCATTCCCAGGCCATATCGAAAGCATTTTACAAATCAATGATTATTAGTAGTACAGTTATTACTTATAGGCGGATTCATGCTGACGTCATTGTTTACATTTTTGCTCATTTGCATACGGCTTTGCGTAAAGAAGGAAGCACTTTAGATACAAATTGACTNACTTGCGAATCATTTGGTCCTCTGTTAATTTAGCAAATAAAAGAGAACGTGCCCCTGAAATAAAATTTGCCTTGCTGTGGCATTGTTAATTTCCATACTTGTTAGTTCAGGATAAAATAAATATAGTTCGATGATCTCACTAAAGCTCAAGAAACTGAGAAACTATTCATCTGATTCATTCGTAGCGGCTCTGGCTCGTGTGATTTTCTCCTCGGTTGCCTAGCACGTGATCAATTTCTTCCCCAATCGAATTTCATTTCTTTGTGAACAAGATTCCATAAGGTTACACGAACAGCAGCCGGACCCAACAGGCCTACTATCACTGGAAATTTTGGAGAGAATTCATTGTGTAATCCTTAGAACTACTGTAAATAATCTGCCAAAAATCGGTTCAGTCTGTAAAACTAAAGTGAACTGAAGTGTTTGATGTAAATGAAAATGCCACATTTAGTTGTTCATTTTTGCTATGTATTTTTCAGAATGTATACAAACTGTATTAAACATGGTCTATAGTACCAGACAGCATTCTGAGGTATCAAATGTCAAACATTTTTAGATTCCCGAAAGTCAATCCTTTATCTGTTTCCCCAACAACCCCCCCTAACCCCCTTAGCTTTGCGTAGTGCTGCAGCTGCAGTTGGCCAGGTAGACCTACTTTGTGTGATCCCCTGAAAAATTACATGAACCCTTGCCAAAAAAATTAACTGGAACACTGAAGATAGAGGTATAATTGAAAGTTCCCTAGAATCACCCCCACAGTTTTTTTGCAGCTTGAAAGAACATGTGGCTTCTTAAAGTGGAAGGAGAGCTATAAGTCTGGAACCACACATGGGCACCATCACCAAGCTGGCCCAAAATAGCCAGGAGTGGAGAACCTTCATGGCTGCCCTCTGTACCAGCTGGCCTAATGGGCAGTAACTAACACTAAAAAATAAATCATCCATTCAAGACCTACCTTGACGAGCTGAGGCTCCTCCTGCTGCCATGCTGAGAATGTTTGGTCGCCGAAGAGGTTGTGAGAGTTGACTACCACGTCCTCTTCCCCGACCTCTACCCACTCCAAAGGTAGATGTTTGTTGGTGGGCTTGGGACTGAGGCCTTTGGGAAAACTGCCAAGCCGTGGACTGTGGTGGTGCTTGAGCTCCCCTCTCGTATACAGTATCATCATCATTATCTTTGTCATCATCACGCAGACTCTGTTGGTCGTAGGTGGGTCCTGAGCGAGTATACACACCTTGATTACTGGAGAAATCTGCAAGAAATTTAATGATATGACTGTTAATTCTCTCCTCTAGCTGCTACATATTTCCTTGTAAGTTAGTTACAAGAATTAGGTGTTCGATCACGATAAAAACTTCTATCTGATAAGTTAGAGTATTCTCATTACCTGTTTGCTGGATAATGTAGGGATATTATGGGGAGAAGTTACATGTTAATCACTACTGAGAGTTAAAGGATAAGAGGAACAAAACAGATCTACTGACTTTTACCCATAATTTAAACTGTAAAGAGAGCAAAAAAGTATCATTCTGCACCTTTAACTTCATGAAAGTGAACACTGATGGGACTGTACTCAATTTTTTTTTGGTGTTTCAAGTACCGGTACATGGTTCATCCACAGCTACCTTTTCTAATTACGACCCTAATCAATGTTTTTCTGGTTGCCATGTTCCCACCAATCACATAGCTCCATTTTCTGCCTTTAAAAGCACACACAACCCACAATTCCTCTATTCGCTCCGAGGAAGGGCTAACGCTTGAAACGTCAGCTTTTGTAATCGTTACGTTGGCCAATTTACCATTTCAACTTTGTTGATATATCCAAATTATTTCATTGCCCCCACCGACGCAACCTTAAACAGTTTCTTAAGAAACTATCAGCCTTTTAACAAATTTTTAAGTTCACAAATTATTCCAGGTATTACAACGTAATCAATTTATTAACGTTATAACGAGAACTATGCATCCTGTTAAACTATAAACTGCAACAACATAAACTGAAATAATTAATTAAATCTGAGTGGTTATAAATAATCTTAAAAAGCATTTGGTATTCTCTATTTGTTGCATTGATACGAGGCTAAACAGTGTCAAGAGGGCAGACAGTAATTAGCCCACAGAATGTTATAAATAACTTAGTTTTGATGGCTTTGGGAAAGAGACAAATGCACAGTGATAACTGCTTAAGTTTTCATGAATTTCTTCAAGGGTAATATTATAATGCCATAAAAAATTGTTAACATTGGAACGGCAGAACAACCAATGATTAATTGTGCATAACTTGGAATGGGCAGTAGACTACACGCAGTCCCTCCTTTTTCCGCAAAGTCCTTCTCGCAAGTAGAAAAAAATCTGTGACAAAAAAATCGATATTAGCATGCCGCGGGGTGATCTAAGGCTGAGGCCTCCCACTCCAAAAGCTCCCTGCGGCACTATAACATCAATTTTTTTTTTTTTCACTGATTTTTTTTTTTTACTTGCGTGACCAACTTTGCTGAAAAGGAAGGACTGCATGTAGTCTTAATGGGCAATTTTGTCTTGTCGTGGTTATTACTGAACAGACGCATGCCACTATGGAATCTATTAGTTCTACAGAAGTAAGAAGCAAAATGCTGTCAATGGTGTCCTCATCTAATCGATCGTTAGTAAGAACCAATCAATATGCAGCTTATTACAACCAACCAATCAAAATTCAGCTTATTATTTGAAACAAGATAGTACATTTGGCTTAGAGCTTTGTAGTTCAAAGAATGACAGCTGGTGGTTTCCCAAAGAGTAGAGTTAAGAGTAATAGAGCTATCACGAGGGAAAATAACATGACCTCTGCTGCAAGAAGATGCCTTACATAGATACATAGTAACATTGAAACATATGCTGAAGATAATGTTAGTCATCCAAAGAAAGGGAACTCATCTGTGATGCTACACCACTCCCTGGTCGCCAGGCTGGTTGTTGCCAGGCTGTTGGTGGCATTGGTGTATTAGCAGCTGCAGGTGGATTCAACGCCCCAACATAGGCCTGTGGCCGAGTGTTGGGTGGTCTTAACACACCTCGACCGACTGGGGGTGGTGGAAAATCTGTTCCAGTCCATGCTGCCATGTTACCTCCAAGGGGCGATGCCTTATTTGTGACAGCAGTACTGCTCCAAGATGTTTCTATAGTAAGATGAGAACATGGAGAGATATAATGACTTCACACTGCTAATGGTACATAACAAGATTTATTTAAGATGATGGCGCGCAGAATATAGCTCAATTGGTTAGTGCGCCGGATTGTGTTGTGCGGGAGGTCGAGAGTTCGAGCCCTGGCCGGACCAAAACTCATGCTCTTAAAATAACTGAGGAGAATTTGCTACCTTTCTACAACAAGAAATGAATAGATATTCTAATCTTCTCAGATAAAGACGAATAAACCGTAGGCCCTGTCTCCTGCAGGGTTAGGGGTAGGAGATGATAATTTGCAATGCACGATACTACTGTGTGGTGGATGTCCTCCCCTGGGGTGGGATGGGTGGGTGTTGGCCCTGAAAAGCTCCTATGGAGAGTGGTCAATTAACCTATGGAATTTGGCTACAGCTAATTTCCAAGTTCATCACTGGTACGAAAAGTGGTACCTATTTTGGGGTCAAAAAGCCTCTAAACCACACCCAGGTCAACTTCTTCAAGATCAGTGTTCCAGATAAGAGACGGGTCTCGGGTCAAAAACCCAACGGCAACCGCTACGTGACCCGACACTGATTAAAAGGAAAATCGGCTAAACTACTTGTTTAGATTAAAATACTATAATTATGAAAGAAAACAAAAGTAAATAAAAGAGTGAAGTTTCCAATGAAAAACGATTGAAAGCAATAACTAATACAAGATATTAAGGAAAAGAAGTTTGAAAAGACGACTCAACAAAATTCCAAAGGCGACTTGACTTGCGAATCATTTGGTCCTCTGTTAATTTAGCAAATAAAAGAGAACGTGCCCCTGAATATTTTTAACGGAACCTGTAGCATTGT